AAGGAAGCAGAAGCCCAGAGAAGAGAGCTGACTGCTTTATGCAGCTAGTGAGCAGCAGAAACAGTGTTTATCACCAAACCTGACTAGAAATTTTTAGACCTCCCTCCCTCCCCCCCAGGGACAGCTTGTGGAGACTCTAGACCAGGGTTCCGACCTGTGGCCCATGGGTCACGGGATAGCTGTGAATGAGGCCCAACACAAAAGTCATAAATTTACTTAAAATATTGTGGGATTTGTTTTTAGATTTTTTTTGGGGGGGGAGGGTAACTTGGTGGCATGGTTCTGGAGTAGGAATGTCACATAAAATAAAAATATATATGCTCCTTTAACCCACAGGCTATAATTAGACACCTTCCCATTTAACGTGTAGCCCAAGATAATTCTTCATCCAGTGTGGTCCAGAGAAGCCAAGGGATTGATGGACATCCATGCTAGATGTTTCTGATGCTCATGGCTGAGAAAGTAGCTTCTAATGACATCTAGTGGATAGAAAGAACCTGTTAATTTCCCTACTATACAGAGCATAGCACCCCAGGTTCTCTGGTGCAGGGTGCAAAGTGTCTTCAGTGCAAATGCTAAGAGGCCCTGGTCTACACACACACACACACACACACACACACACACACACACACACACACACACACACACACACCCCGCCCTGAGTGTTCTTTATGTCAGCCTTTTTCTGGACTTCTCTGGAGCCTCCGCCTCGCTGCATGCAGCTGAGCCCAGCACTGGGGTCACCATGCAAGCTATAGACAGGTGGCCAAGGTCACCAATTGCCCAAGATGGCGCCTCTGGATTTGCTCTCCTTTGCCCAATAGAGGGAGGAGGTCTGACTTGGAAAGAGGACACCTGCCAGCTCCTTGGCCCTTTCCCACAGGGCAGCCAGAAGAGATTCAGCATAGCCAGTTTAGGGTAGATTCCGGGCCCAGCCACAAGATGGCAGCCCAACCCACCAGGAACACAGAGGCTCCTGACCTGGGAGAGCTGCACAAACCCGGTGCCAATCTGGACAAAGGCCTGAGGGGCTGGACTTGGGCCAGTTCCTGAGCCCAGCAGGACTAGACCTAAGGCCTGCAAGTGCCAGGTGTGACAACATAGGTAGAACTTGGCTTCAGGTATCCTCTCATTTTTTTTTTTTTTAAATTCCCCCACCCAGCTCAGTTCATCCTTTGAGTCCAGCTATTCCCACAGTGGTCTTCCTGCATCCCAGGACTCCTTCCTCTCCAGCTTGAAGAGACAAATCCCAGAGTTACGGACACAGGAAGGAGTACTATTCTCGTGTAGTTCTAAGCCACTGAAGCACAGGGAAGTTGAGTAGCTTGCCCGAGGTCACAGTTAGGCAGTGATGGGTCACTAGAGATCAGAAGCTAGGCAGTCTGTTCTGGTTCATGCTCAGAACCCTGAGACGGGGCAGACCATCCCCAACCAGACACAGCTACGAAAGACACTTTGGTACAGGACTGTAGACCTTCCCTTGTGAAGGGGCAGGCGGCCATGCTGCGGACAGCTGAGAGGTGGGAGGGGGAAGGAGGTTCTAGTGTTTCGGAGGAGGAAGCTGGCTCGGTCAGCAGTTCCTCCCTTCCATGCAACCTTGTTTTTCTGTTCCTTGTTTTATTTTTTCCCCCATGTTTTCATCTTGTTTTTTTCTGGACTTTCTGCGAATGTCAGCCTTCCCTTGGTGTGAAGGGGAGGTGAGAGAAGAGACTTTCATGTCCTTCTTAGGATACAGAAGTGGGAGCACTCCTTGAAGCTTAGGAGTGGGGGGTGTCACCAGGGTTCAGAGTGAGAATCTTAAAGGGGGGCACTTCGAGGAGTATTCCCCATCTGAATCCAGTCTGCTTACCCCTCGGAGTGTGCTAGATCCCCTTTCCCATGCCCTCTCCCTCCAGCCCCGGCACAATCCTGTTTTTCTGGAACATCCCCCAAAATTAAGAGTCCTCACTACCCAACTTTCCCCTACCAGGAGTTTTTTTTCTCTGTCCCTCCGAGACCCAATCCCTTCTCTGCCTGCTTCTCCCCAGGTCACACTGTGGCTCCCATTAGTACTCACCATGGAGTGGGGTCTGATTGGAGCTCAGTTCCTACCCCTCAGAGACCCCTGGAAAGTCCCCCTCCAGGACTCAGCTTCAGTCAGGGAGCCTCTGAAGCTGGAGCTCTAGGGTCCCAAGGCCATTCCTAGCATTTCCTAAATCACCTAGACTTCAGTGAGGGGCTTCTCTGTTTAGGGCTATGCGGAAAGAAGCCAAGGCGAGCCCCAGAGGCGCTGGTACTCCTTTCATAGAAGTGAGATGAGCTAGAGAGACATTTGGAGAGCCAAGCTCTGATCCTGTGTGGCTTTGCAGACAGGGAAGAGGTGGGCAGCCTGAGCCCCTGTGGCTAGCTCCTCGGGTTTCCTGAGGAAGAGGCCCTGGATTTCTATCTGGGAGGGAGGGAAAGTCTAAGGAAGCCTCTTTCTTGGTGTTCATCTTGATTGTTCACAGCTGGGTCTGTATGTGTCCTTGTCTCCACATGCCTCTGTCTTTTTTTTTTTTTAAATCTCACTTCTGGGGTCTCTGTGTCTTTGTCTATCCATTAGTCCTAGGGTTGGGCAGAGCATCCTGAGAGCCTGTGTCCCCGGGATCTGAATTGGCCAGAGTGAGAAGGACACTAAGAACCACTCTTTATCCTGCCATTCTCTGAGACCAAGAGAAATGGCTGGAGGAACACTGGGATTAGCCTCCAGGGGGAAGTCTCCTCAGACCCTCCCCTCTTTGTCCACACACCTCTGCCCCTTTCTGAGAACTCTGCCTCTGACTCCACCTCTGGTACCTTGTCCCCATTCTCGCCCCTCTCCACCTCTCCACACTTTTCCTCGTGACACGCAGACCTTGTATTAAGGCTGGAATTCCCATGATCAGGTGAGGAGAGATGTGTGGGGCACAGCTTTGCCCCCAGGCTCATAACAATGCCTGTGGGTCAGTGTAGACAGACAGCTGTCTGTACAGTTAGCAAGTGCCACAAGTGAATAAGAGCCTCTCATGTCTTAATTAAATCCCCTTTGCCAGGGCAGCCTGTGTTTGATTGCAATGGACGGCAATCGATGAGCATCTTTCACAGACCAGCAGCCTCTGGGGCTGGGCCTGACCTGCCAGTCCCTCTCAATTCCACCTGCCCACTTCTCCCCAAAAGCTGGGAGCCCCCGGAGGTCAAGAGCTAGATCTGATTTGCCCCTTGCGACTTTATAGAGAATCTGGAGCAAGTAAGGAATGAATGATAATGATTGCTGATTAAATAAACCGATGAGTGGCTAGCACAGGCCTGGAGGACTTTGAGGTTAGAAATACAATCTCTGTCCCCGGCATCAACTTCGAATCTGTAGGAACCACAGCCCCTAGACACACTGGCTCACTACCCAGGGCGGCTGAAGCTATGGGGGAGCGGGGCTTTCGGCCTTCGAGGCGCCAAGCGGTCTTTGCACTTCTTCTCATAAGGTAATTCGGGTTATGGGTAAACTGAGATCTGTGTGTCATTCTTGTGACTAGTGACTTAGTCCTGGAGTTAGGAAGGGTCCAGAGCCTGAAAGGGTCTAAAGGGATTAAGAGGCGCTCAGGATTAATCATTAATGGAGAGTTGGGACAGGGGGATGGTGAGAAAGGTGCTATTTTGCAGTCCCTGTAAGAGGATATCTCTGGAAGGATCATGGGGCTTTCAGGTTTCCTGGGAAGGGTCGGTATTAAGGGATTCCTTGAGAGGTCAGTACTAGTCCTGGTCAAGGAATGGCTTGCCTGCGCAGAGGATCGGATGTCTCCTGGGTTAGAAGAAGAGGAGCTGGCCGACGCCCTTCTCACCTCTGTGTGACCCGGGGGCGCGGGCCCAGACGTCGCTGGGAGCCTCCGCCCAACTAGTGGAGCTCCCCGAGGGCGGAGCGTCGGCGGGTCCCCACTGAGCGAGAGGCAAGGAAGGGCGGGCGCCCCCAGTGCCGGGGTTGAGGGAGGCCGGGTTCGGCGCGGGCCTAGGAGGGGGGCGCAGAACCAGGGCTTTTTAGGACCCAGCGCGGCGCCTCCCTCCGGGGGCGAGTGCGGCTGCGCGCGCCGTGTGCCCGTGTCCGGAGAGCCGCGGGCTGGACGCGGACCGCGCGAACGAGCGAGCGAGCGAGCGAGCGAGCAGGCAGCGGAGCAGCAGCCCGGAGGCAGCAGCGGCGCGGCGGCGGCGGCGGCGGCAGTGGCCGCTCCGCGCCTCGCCTCCCTGGCCTCGCCAGCCTCGCTGCGCCGCGCCCGGACCTACCACCCCCGCCTCCCGGGCCCGACCTCGGCAGCGCCCCTCGCCTCGGCTGCCAGCGCCACCCGCCCTCCCGGATCAGGGAGCGGAGCGCGGGGCGCAGAGACACCGGAGCCAGTGTCCGCCGGCCCCGCCAAGCAAACCGGGCCGGGAGAACCTTCGCTCGGCCCAGCGCGGCTCAACAGCCGTCCGGGAGCTGTCCCTTCAGCACCGCCGCGGAAGCCCGAGTCCCAGCGCAGCCCCTCGGAACCCCTGACCCAGGGCGAGCGCCCCAGGCGCTGCGCTCAGCGGCCGCCCGGCGGGGCAGCACCCAGGTGCCCCAGCCCAGGGGACCCGCCATCTCCTCCGGGAGGCGGGGAGAAGGAACGAGGAGGGCGGGCGGGCAGCTTCACCCGCCACCGAGGGGAATAGACAGCCAGGCAAGGAGAGCCGAAGGGGACCGGCCGCACAGGGAGGAGAGCAGCCTGCATCCGTGCCCACCGCACCGGGAGCGCGCTGCGGCGACCACCGCAGAGCCGAGCGCGGATTTTCCCGCCCCCCCCCCACCTTCCCCTGCTGGGGTTGGTCTATTGGTCCGGCCCCCGGAACGGAGCAGCTGACCTTCCCCTAAAAAGCTTTGTGTCGGTTTCTCCATTTTCCCGCTGAGATGGTACCCGGAGCCCGGCCCCCCCACCCTCTCTCCCCTCCTCCCGGGGCTCGCCGCTGAGCGCCGCCCCACTCCCTCCCTCCCTCCCTCTTTCCCTCCTTCCTCTCCTCCTCTGCCTCCTCCGCAGCCAGGCCAGCTCCCTCTCACATTAGGTGCCTTAGAGACCCTTGGGAGCCCGCGCACACACCCCTGCACCCGTACCTGACTGACAGCTCCCCCTGAGGGAGCTTGGGTCGCTCGTTGGGGTGGGTGGCCAGAGCCGCGCTCCTCTGTGCCCCCCGACGGCCGGGGGGAGGGGGGAAGAGGCCCCGCGCCCCCCTCCCCGTCGCCAACTCCCCCTGGCGGCAGCTCCCATGGGTGTCGCTGGGCCGCGCCATGCCTAAGGGGGCGCCGCGATGGGCCAAGGGGACGAAAGCGAGCGCATCGTGATCAACGTGGGCGGCACGCGCCACCAGACGTACCGCTCGACGCTGCGCACGCTGCCCGGCACGCGGCTTGCCTGGCTGGCGGAGCCGGACGCCCACAGCCACTTCGACTATGACCCGCGCGCCGACGAATTCTTCTTCGACCGCCACCCGGGCGTCTTCGCTCACATCCTGAACTATTACCGCACCGGCAAGCTACACTGCCCGGCCGACGTGTGCGGTCCGCTCTACGAGGAGGAGCTGGCCTTCTGGGGCATCGACGAGACGGACGTGGAGCCCTGCTGCTGGATGACGTACCGCCAGCACCGCGACGCCGAGGAGGCACTGGACAGCTTTGGTGGCGCGCCCCTGGACAACAGCGCGGACGACGCGGATGCCGACGGCCCTGGCGACTCAGGCGACGGCGAGGACGAGCTGGAGATGACCAAGAGACTGGCACTCAGTGACTCCCCAGATGGCCGGCCTGGCGGCTTCTGGCGCCGCTGGCAGCCGCGCATCTGGGCACTGTTCGAGGACCCCTACTCATCCCGCTATGCGCGGGTAAGTGACAGCTTATCCATCAGAAGGACCTGACCCGGAAAGGCAGCCTTTGCCGCTTCCCGCGGGCAGGGTGCAATGGACAGTGAGTTCCCAGAGAGTTCTGAACTGAAGGGGGTGTGTACGTGTAAGTGTGTAAGAGAGAACTTGAGTCTGTATTGCTGGTTGTATGAGAGCATATGAATGGGTGTTTGTGTGTGTGTGTGTATGAGTAGACTGCCATGCATATTTATGTAAGCATACTGGTGTGTATTTGGATGGGTAAAGTATGTGGGAACAAGTGAGCATATGTGTATGTTCGAATGTACATGACACCCCACACTCCTGTTAGTGCCCAGCCGTGCCTTTAGCAGATGTACACTGTGAAGGTGTGAATTGCCCTTTGGTTTGGGGAAGGCGGGGGACTCCTTCCTTCTTCCCAGGTCAGGGAGTCTCTGGAGTAGAAAGGGTGCCTTAGCCTGCTGGGACGCTAGAGACAGACAGCCACTCCCCTCTCGAGAGACCTTCCTTAAGCTTTCTGAGGAGGTGGTCTTGGGAATGCTCATGCATATTAATAGCTTGATGATTGAGGTGGCTCTGGGCTGGGGGTGGGGCGCAGAGCATGGTGACCTCTGTGACATCTGCCCTCCTGGGTCTGGGAAGAGTCCAGAGGAAGGGCTTAAGAAGGCCTTAAGCTCCTGCTTCCTCTAGCCCCTGGGAAGAGGCTGGCAGACAGGAAAACCTTAAGGGGAAGTGTGTGGAGTGGGCGTGTCTTCCTCAGCCACACCCCTTTAGAAACAGCAAATTGTTACTAGAGAGAAAGGACACCCTGTTGCTGACCTTGGCCCTTCAGATGGCCTCCATGGATTAAGTTTCCTATGTAAAATGGCAAGAATGGTGGACCTCAGGGACCATTTGATGGACCATCTCCCCAAGAGAGACACCTACCCTGGAAGACAAACTCTGGGCCTTTCAGAGCTCTGTTCTCTGGCCTAAAGAGTACCAAGGATGAGAGAGAGAGAGAGAGAGAGAGAGAGAGAGAGAGTTGGGAATTTGAAACAGCCCCTCCCCCATCTATAAGCCACCTCTGCCCCTCCCGGGCAGGCTTCCTCTAACTGCTCCAGGTCCCTTCTCTTTGGCTGACCCTGAGGCTGAGCTGGAGCTGGGGTAGGGGGACCTGAGGAGGAGCTGGAATCCACAGAAGATCAGTAGACAGATACGAGCTGGGGGAGGGGTCTGAGGTGCCTGAGGACAGGGAAGGGCTGTATCAGCAGACACCTGACAGATCTGATGCTAAGATAAAACAGAAAGGCACGTGGGCTGGAGACAGCAGCTCAGAAACTCACACCTCGAATCCTAGAACAGGTGCTGGGGGTAGGGATGCAGAGAGAGAGCACGCACGTGGCCTCCCATGTTGCCACTCAGGATTTTGGCCAAGGTCAACCTGGAAGTAGGAGGCCAAGGAAAATTTGAATCAAAATCTCCTGGACCTTATTCTCTCCTGAGATGGCCATTGGCTCCCTGCCTTGTTAAGGGTGGCCTGGGACTCTGCAGAGGAGGCCTTTCTTCTCCACACCCCCCCCCCCCCCCTTGATGACAGAGGCCACTACAGCTAGAGGATTATGTAACTGGAGGCTATGCTGAGCTGTGGGGAGGGGCTGGGACGTGGGCCTGAGAGAATGAACCAGTATGGGCTGGGAGAGAGATGCCTGGCAGGCCCAGCCAAGGCCTGGGTTAGAGCAGCCTTTACACTTACGTTTGACCTTGGCCCCTGGAAGGGAGGCCAAGAAGGCCCAACTTCTTTAGGGTAGTTACAGAGGGCTGAGCCCTCCACTGGCCACCTTGGACTCTGCCCTGATGAGTGTACCTATGTTGCAGGGCAGGCGAGGGTCAGCAGGGTCACTTGCTCTCTCTACCCACTCAGAGGCTGTGGGGTTGCCTTCACTCAGTGGAGACAAACACAGCACCTACGTACAGGTTGTGCCAGCGTAAGACCACACGGCCGAGAAGTCGAGAAACTCTCCCACGGGTGTCCACTCAAGAGCAGACACAGGGAAAGCTGCAGAGTCAGAGGTGGCAGGTGGGGTGCTGGGGTACAGGTGGGTGTCAGTGGGTGCCCCACTCAGGACAGCAGTGCTGCTTTCTTCCTCTGGTAGCCTCAGGGAGAGGTTGTAGGCCTTTTCATTTGCATTGGCACCACAGGAGAACCCTGAGACCACAGAGGGAGGGAGCACTCGGAGCTGGGATTAGAACCAGGCTCCTGCTGCCCGCCCGCCCGCCTGGCCAGCCTGACTGCATTGCGCTGCCTCTCTGCAGCCCTGCGCAGAGACCAGCCTGCTGCCTGCCTCCTCCCCCCCTTCCATCTTCGCTCTGATGCTGCCTGCCCTGCTGCTACCTTTGTTTACTCCGCCCCTCACAGCTTGGAAAAGCCTCAGATTGGTGGGTCTGGGTTTAGCATCCAATCTTTTTTTTTTTTTCTAGATTCTAGACCTGAATCTCACGTGTGATATAGTCTGTGTGTGTGAAATAAAAACTAGAAAAGCTTGTGCGTGAGCTTCTGTGTGGGTGTGTGAGAGACTCCTCGTGTGTAAGAATAAAAATATGGTGGTAGGTGAGTGTGACTCTGAGGGCACACATGTGTGTTCCTGTGTGTTCAAGTGTGTGTGTGTGTGTGTGTGTGTGTGTGTGTTGAGACTGTGAATATAAGAGAGATCCTTGTGTCAAAGAAATGGGATGTAAGATTGTTGATAGATGGTGTGTGTGTGTGTGTGTATGTGTAAGAGAGAGAGACTCTGTGAGAGAATGTGTGTAATAAGAAAAAAAGAAATGTTGTAAGAGAAATGTTGCATGTGAGACTCCAGGTCAGTGTATCTCAGAGATGTGTGGGCAGGTGTGGAAGTGTACGTGTGAAGCTGTGTGTATGTGTAAGCCTATGTGTGCGACACGACCTGTGCATATTCTGTGTGACAGAGTGTGTGTGGCTGTGTGTTAAGAGACTGTGAGGCCCCATGTGTGGCAATGTGTGTTTTGTATGAGAGGGATCTTAGATGTGTGTCATTATTGCCATTAGTGCCTGTGTGTGAGAGACATTGTGTGGCCGGGGTGTACCTAGAAGAAGGTGATAATCTGTAGGTTCCCTGCCTGCCGGCTCCATCTCCTGGGACTCCTGGGCTGTCTGACTGAAGAATATCCTTGCATGCCATACCTCAGAAGATATATGTCCCATCCAGGCCAGTTGTGGATGTATGGGCCATCAGTGAGGTTGCTTTCCCCTAAGGAGCTATCAGGACATCAGCTGTGGAGGATGGGGACTCCTTGGTTGGGATAGGATGTCCCATTGGAGCTATAAGGGCCAACAGTGTTGGCCAGAACAGCTAGCCCCCTATCCTTCCAGAATGGGGGTTGGGGAGTGAGGTGAGCTGGGGCAAGCTGAGCCCCACTTGTGATCTGGATTGTGGGGTGTTGCAGCCTCCGACACATGGAAGGTGTGAGTGGTGGTGTAACTATGTGGATGAAGGGATGAGGGCGTCCTGGACAAGATGCCTCCCGAAGTCACACTGGGCAGGCACTGAGGGCTGAGCAGGTATTGGCAGGCAGAGGAAGTGCAGTTCTTGTGTGAAAAGTTGCAGAGGTGTGAGAGCAGGTGTGTGAGACCAGCTGGCTTGAGCCTGCCCTCCTCACCTCCTTGAGAGTCAGCAGAGGTCAGGAGGTCAGAGGCCTCGGGTCTTTGTCTGTGACTTACAAGTGGCCAGGAGCATTGTTCACTGTCATATCAAGGCCACCGATGGTCTCTAGGCTGCGGGCCAAGGAGTGTCCCTAACATATGCATGTGTGTGAGTGTGGTGACGTCAGTCCCCACTTGACCTGATGAATACCAACGATCTCAAAGCTAGGGCAGCCCCACCTCTGTGCATTCTACTGTCCATCTGACTCCTGTCCCTCTCTGCCTCTCTGCCCTGTCCCTTAGTCCTTGGGAATTAATGTAGTCCTAACTCTTCTTAGCTCTCTGGGGAGGGAGTCACCCAGTGATTAGAGTGAAGGGCCCAGCCAAAGACAACACTGGGAGCCCAGGCTGTGGCCTGAGGTAAAGATGGAACTATTAACAGGGACTTCTTAGGAAGCTCGCTCCTCCCCAGGACAGGGCATAGTTGGACACATGGTAGCATGACACCCGTGGCAGCAGCATGGCCATCCAGCCACTGTGCTTTACCAGGAGTCCTTTATTTTTCTATTGTACCTTCAAGCCCCCAAGGCCTTTCAGTAAAGAAAACCACAGACTAGGTATCTGGTAAGTTGGAGTCCTTCAGCCCCATCACCGATGAAGAGAGTTGCTTGAAGACCGACCATAGAGGGTCACATGGAGCATCTCCGAGGTGACCATGAACGGCCACAGGCACACAGGAAACAGTCAGGGACGTCGGCTGCTGTTGTGGCTTGTCTTAGCATCTTGCTGGTGTTTCTGCTGTGCCTCTGCCCTGTTGTCTCACCCCACAACCATCTCTGCACTTCATCTCTTCTGCTATTGTGTCTACCACTGTACTTCAAACCACCATGGTTCCCTCAGGCCCACCTCTCCAGCAGCTTTGCGAATTTTTCCCCGACTCTAGTCCCGGCTCCTTCCAGTCCACTTTTCCATTTGGCAAACACAAAGGCCCTTCTAACTGAAAAACTGGCCAGGTCATCAAAGCCTGCAGGACTTCCCAGGTTCATCCTGGGGCCTCTTGGGTCCAGCCTGACTCTCCAATGTGCTCTTGCCTGGATTTAGTCACCGATCACTCAAGGATCGTCTGACCTGGCTTAGTTGCTTACAGTTGAAAGTGTCCCATTTCCCCTTGGAGGACTCTTTCTTCCTAGCTCCCTCCCTCCTTTACCCTTCACACTCACCTAAAAAGCAGTTCCTTAGCCGTATCCTTCCTGGCCCCGATAGACTGGACCAGGGTTCAGTCCCAGGGCCCCTCCCTTCGGAACAATAATCTGGTTGGTGGTTGGACGTTCATGAGAAGCCTTGCTCAGCTCAGGTTTAT